TGAGCATAGTCATGTTGCGGGCGGGTGACCACATCACGAGCTGGCTCAAAACGCCTTTGTTTTTCTCCTCTATATTTATCCCAATGGTTTTCCCTTTGATTGTAGGAAGGACTCTCATGCCATCCCCTTTGCTCCCTAGGACGACATTGTCTACGTGCTTCCCCCTTCGTCTACGATGAAGGTTATCATCCCTCAGAAGGGGTCTTTGAGGGTACGGTTAGTAACATTTCTCCTGGGTGAGTATCTACCTTGACTCTGATTATGAGTTAAGTAGCTCATTGCTCGAGAATAGCTCCTATGTTAGGAGGAATAGGCTTCCTTAATATGATTGTTACGATGATCATGGTTACGGGTTAACTGCCTAACCTCGTTAGCGAGTTGCTTGCCACTCTAACATAGAAGGCCTTGCTTGAGAGCTTTTAGCTCCTCTATCTTCTTCCTGATTGCCTCATGGTAATCAATCTCAGTGGCTAACTTGCCTTCTACACTAAGAATAGGTAGGTTGTGGTGAGAAGGAGGATTTTCTCTTGAGTGGTCCTACCGACAACACTTCCTCTGATAATTGGAGGTCATAGTTAGCAGGATCCTCGTGGATCAAGGATAGTGGAAGTAGTGAATGACTAGTTCTAGGGTCGAGGGCTCTTTCACATTATAGGATGAACCTTAAGGAGCATATTGAGTTAAATAGGCAAATGGAAGAGCTTCTAGCGAAAGGTTTTGTTCGACATAGTCCCTAACGTGATACATATTCACCATGTGCGATTACTACTCTTGCTTTTGGTTAGTAGAAAGCTTAATCGTTTCACATAGACAATGCCAATTATGCGGGGATAAATCCACGTTAATGGTAACCACCTAGTACGAATAGAGATAATGGCGGAGAAGCCTTGGTGAACTTGCAAAACAAGAGAAAACCTAGGTAAATTAATGGTCGGAGGCAGCCAAAGGGACTCCAATGCTTAAGTCAGTAAGCAAGTCGAAGAAAAATGTATATGGTGAATGGGTTAGGATTGAATGACACACCTAGCACCCAAAACCTTTAGTTATAGCGGTATAGGAAGTGGTGCTCCTCATGGACTCGAATTCCAGGTCATGATAGGATAGATTTCATCACCAATCCCCTAGACATTCGAGGTAGAGTTATATTAGGATGTTGAGTCCTTGCTTGTAGGAAGAGATATGCTCGGCGGGAGGCTTTGTTTATCTATATGTACTTGATACTTGGAGTCGAGTTATACTAGGATTCTAGGTCCCGAGTCAATCCTTAGCCAAGTAGTAGGTTGGGCGCCAGGTAGGGGCGACACTAGGACAAGGGGCATGGTGACGCCATGCACAAGTGACGCCAGAGGTGAGGTAGCTGGCTAGGCAGGTGCCTTAGGCTCTGCTAGTGATGCCGGGAAGCAGGGTAGTTGGTTGGGCAACTTGGGTGACACCTTGAAGCTAGTTGGGCGATGCCTTGAGGCTGTTAGGTGCCTTGGGTGATGCCTCATGTCCTACATTAGGCTTTGTTTAGAGAGTGATGGCTTCAATCCTTTTGGCAACATGAGTAATGCTTGTAGCATTTGGCCTATATTTCTTGTCCCATATAATTTGCCTCCTTGGAAATGTATGAAGGATCCTTTTATTATAATGTCCATGATCATTCCTGTTAAGTGTGGAGAATTAACACAATAATAGAGAGAAAACAGAGAGAGGTTAAAAAACTTAACCTATCTCTCATATATCATTTGTATTTATAGTTAACTCACAATAATAAGAATTACACTTAAACCCTCTTACTATTAAAAATTTACACATACTACCCTTTAACACTCCCCCTCAAGCTGGACTATATATATTATATAATCCAAGCTTGGAACAAATCACTGTAAGATATGTACGACTCAATGCTTTGGTAAATATATATGCAAGCTAATCTTCAAATTTCACAAATAGAGTTGTAATCTCCCTAGCTACTATCTTATCCCGAATAAAGTGACAATCAATTTCAATATGTTTGGTTCTCTTGTGAAACACCGGATTGACAGCGATATGAATAAGTGTCTGGTTGTCACAAAGCAACTGTAAAGAAAGTTGAACTAAAAACACAATTTCTTGGAGGAGGTGTAGTAGCCAAGTCAACTCACTCGTCATATGTGTCATTGCCCTATACTCAGCCTCAGCACTGGATCTTGCTAACACGGATTGTTTCTTACTTTTTCATGAGATAACATTACCTCCTACAAAAGTACAATAACCAGTGGTTAATCTCCAATCAGAAGAAGAGTCAGCCCAATTAGCATCTGAGAAACCTTATACTCTAAGATGTCCATTAGCTCGATATAACCATCCAAGTCCAGGAGCACATTTGAGATAAAATAGAATACGAGTAACTGCCTCCCAATATGGTACTCTAGGACACCCCATGAACTGACTTATTATACTGACTGCATAGGAAATATTTGATCGAGTAATAGTGAAATAATTGAGCTTCCCAATCAATCTGCGATACCGACCTGAATTCTCAAATAGTGCGTCATCATCCATCAAAACTTTCTGATTTAGATCCATAGGAGCATCAATAGGTTTGCCACCCAATAAACCCTGCTTCCTATAGCATGTCAAGTACATATTTCCTTTAGAATAAACAAATACTCTGTTTAGATCGAGCCACCTTAATACCCAAGAAATTCCTGAGTTATCTCAAATCCTTAGTATGAAATAGATCCTGCAAGGATATTTTTAATTTGACAATTGCCTTAGAATCATTTACAGTAATCACAATATCATCTACATAGACCACTAATAGGACATATCCAACATCTGTCTGTCTATGAAACACATAATGATCTATTTGACATCGAAGAAGACCAAACTCTAAAACTGTATCTGAAAACTTACCAAACCATGCCTTCGGTGATTGCTTCAAACCATACAAAGATTTCTTTAACCGATGTACACTCTTACCATACTCCCCCTGAGCAATAAACCCAAGTGGCTGCTCCATGTATACCTCTTCAACTAAGTTACCATAAATGAAGGCATTCTTGACGTTTAACTGAAACAAGGGCCAACCAAGATTAGCAGCCAAAAAAAATTAAGATACGAACAGAGAAAAATTTGGCAACAGGAGAGAAAGTCTCCTCATAATCAACACCATAAGTTTGAGTAAAGCTCTTTACAACAAGCTAGGCTTTGAGACGCTCTACAGAACCATCCGGATAAAATTTAACAATATACACCCAACGACAACCAATAGTTCATTTGCCAGGAGGTAAAGGAACGAGATCCCAAGTTTCATTATGATGTAAGACATCCATCTCCTCCTCCCTATCTTTCCTCCAACCAAGATCAGATAATACATCTTGTAAATGCTTAAGAATAGATATATTAGATAATTGCGAAGTAAAACAAGAGAAGACAGGAGACAAGGTGTCATATGAAACAAAATGAGCAATAAGATGATTAGTAATAAACGAACGAGTATCTTTTCAAAGAGAAATAGATAAAGAGTCTAAATAACTTGATGTACCAGGATCAGAAGGCGGCAAAGAAGACGGTACAAGCACCTTAGTCGATGGGTGAGAATGACAAGAATAGACACGGAGAGGTAAAGTAGATGGTAACACAGTGGGTAGAAAAATATCTAAAGATGAGGAAAGAGATGGTGGTACAAGATATGACCCAAAGTCCTGATCCAAAGGTTGAGAAAGTGCTGAAAAATATGGAACAGATTTTCTCAAATGTGACATCGGCAATAGTAAAGTATCGGCACAGAGAAGAACTGTAGAAACGATACCCCTTTTGCATGTTAGAGTAACCAAAAAATACACATTTGGTAGCTCGAGGGTCAAGTTTTCCAAATTCAGGACCCAAATTGTGAACATAACAGATACATCCAAAAATCTTAGGAGTTAAAAAAATGAGGGCTTACGATTAATAAGGCGATATGCAGTAAGAACAACATCACTCCAAAAATATCGGAGAATATTCATTTGGAATAACAGGGCACGAGTGACTTCCAATAAATGATGATTCTTGCATTAAGTAACACTATTTTTTGGAGGTGTTAGCACAAGAAGTTTGATTAATAATGCCAATTTTACTAAGATAAGTTGAAAAGGGATCAAATTCATATTTCTGAGCATTATCGGAACGTAAAGTACGTATACGACAACCAAATGGAGTTTTTATTTCCTTACAAAAGGTCTCAAATATAGAGAATAATTTAAATCGAGCTTTCATAAAAAATAACCAAGTCACACAAGAATAGTCATCCATAAATGTAACAAAATAAGGATATTTATTAGATAAAATATTCTTTATTGGACCTCATACATCAGAATATACTAACTCAAATGGACTAGACATATGATTATTGACTCTAGACTGAAATAACACACGATGATGCTTACTAAATTGACAAGCTTCACTAGACAAAGACAAAACATAACTAAAACTTGGAACTTGACGCTTCAGATTCTGGAGATAGGGATGTCTAAGACGACAACGCCATTGAAAAGGAGACAATGAGGTCTGTAGAGCCCGGGTAGGCGATTCAAAGTCAAGGTAATATGGGCCACCAGCTTCATTCCCCATACCAATCTTTCTCTTCGTCTTAAGATCCTAAAAGACACAATAAGAGGGATAAAATGTTACAGAATAATTGAGAGAACATGTAATCTTGCTAATGAAAAGTAAACTAAAAGGAAACTGAGGAACAAATAACACAGAAGATAGGGACATATCAAGAATCAAATGAGTAGTCCCCAAGCCTGAAACTTTAGAACAAGTACCATTAGCAAGAGTACGTATGGAAGTAGTAGACTGATAAGTAGAAAAAATATTAGACGCACCAATCATGTGGTCAGAAGCGCTAGAGTTTATGATCTAGAGATTGTAAACAGAGGACAATAAACAAGTGAAAACAATACCTGACTAGGCAAAAGTAGTAGTGGAGGGAGATGGGACAACCTGTTGCTGGGACAGAAACTGATCGTACTCTTCTCGTGTAATAGTAACTAATCCAGTGTCTGGTGGAGCTGAACGAGGTATGAAAGCAGCAACAGAGGTGTCATCATGATAGGATGTCTAATTCGTAGCATTAGAAGGTTTTTCATGTAAATCCCAACAGAAATCAATAGTGTGTCCTCCACGGCCACAATGAGTATAGAAACGAGGTCACTATGGGCCCCACGACCACCCATACGACCTTCTCGACCACCACCACCATCTCGATGATCATCACTATGACTACTATGAACCACAAAAGTTGAGCGATCAGTGGAGACACCATGATCGATGTCTACAGTAGACAAAGTAGTATACTGTATACAAGAGAAAACCTTAAGTAGTGAAGGAAGACTAGAACCACCCAAAATCTGAGAATGAATAAACTCATATTCAGGTTTCAATCTTACCAAAAACCTAACAACATTCATGTCCTCATGTTGCTTCTGTCAAACTGCTACATCAATAGAAAACGGATGGTAGGTCTTCATCTCCTCACAGACTCCCCGAATGTGGGAATAATAATCTTCAATACTCAGAGTACTCTATTCCAGTCCGAAGTACTCCTTGCGCATGTCATAAGATCAGGTAAAATTACCTGTACCAGAATAAATAGTGGCCAAGTAATCTCATATCTCCTTGGCAATGTCAAGGTAGAGTAGAATAGAGCTAATATTGAGCTTAATGATATTCAATAGTAACGAAATAATTTGAGCGTCCTCTTGTTCCCACTGATCATACTTAGGAGTATCTTCCTTGGGTTTAGGATCTACTAAATATTTTTTAAATCCTTTCCCTCGAAGAAAGACTTGAATAAACTAAGACCATAACGTATAATTGGTTCCATTGAGTTTAACAGAGGTCATGAGACCATTGATAAGAGTAGGAGGAGGCAAAGATGGAGTAAGGGCCTTGGTCTCTTGCTTGGGTTCCATAACAGTGCAGCAAATAGCAAGCAAGAAGTGTTATAATGTTGAACCAGTAAAAAATAGGCTACTGGAAGAAAACAGGCAGAACTAGAAGTGTTACACTGCTGAATCGAATAGGCTAAGCCCTTTGGACCAGTGAATTGAACTGGATAAGCTAGCTGGACTGTTGAACCGGATAGGCTGAGCCCTCTAGACCGCTGAACCAGACTGGTTTAACTTGCTGGATCAGTGAAATGGATAGATTAGGCACACTAGACCACCAAACTGAAGTGAAAACTGACTGAACCAGTCTAAATCGGTGCAAAAACTATCTGAACTAGACCACAAACATTTACTGGACCGCTGAAATGGGACCAAACTGGGATTGATCCGGTCTGGGCTGGACCTTGTCTTCTTTGTTCGTTGATTAGGGTTTCAGTGAACCCTGGTCTTGATTACGCCTTCCCACTATTACGAACGACAGTCCACCAGAACAGCCACACCACCACAACGACTCTGACAACCCTAGTCTTCGATTGAGCCTTACCACCACGACAAATGACAAATGACGGCGAAGAACAAACGATGTCGAACGACAGACGACCACCACAACAGTACCACCACCACCACTATGCTTCAACAAACACTGGCACCACAACAGTACCACCACCACCACCACGATGCTTTGGCAAGCAGCGACACCACAACAGTACCACCACCACAAACAGAATTAATTTATTCAGAATATATTTATGATCGTAATTGCTCTAATACCATGTTAAGTATAGAGAATTAACACAATATTATAGAGAAAACAAAGAGAGGTTAAAAAACTTAACCTAGCTCTCATACATCACTTGTATTTATAGTTAACTCACAATAATAAGAATTACACATACATCCTCTTACTATTTATAATTTACACATACTACCCTAATATTCTTAATAATTCCAAGGCCAAATTCCCCAGGAAATGACATCGATGTATATCTACAACTTTTGATCGATGAGTTAAAGGAATTATAGGAGAATGACTTTGAGATTTATGATGCTTACATTGCAACGATGCTGTGGACTATTAACGACTTCCCCACTTATGCTAACTTGTCTAGATGGACCACCAATGGGTATAAACCCTGAAATTATGACATAACCTAGATGTCATGCACATAAAGAAGAATGTGTGTGATAATGTGCTTGGTACATTGATGAATATTGATGGGAAAACTAAATACAACTAGAGTAGGCTTGTAAGGATTTGATGGAAATGGGCTTAAGACCTGAATTACATCTAAGCTTTGATGGTGATGCAGTTTTTATGCCCTCTGGTTGTTATCAATTGTCAGATGATGAGAAGAGAAAACTGTGTGAATTTTTTACTTCAATCAAGAATCCAGACAGTGTCGCCTCAAACATATCTTGATGTGTGAATACAAGAGAGTGTCGTATTTTAGGAATGAAGAGCCACGGTTGTCACATTTTTGTTCAACATATACACTTACTGGCAATACATTTGCCAACCTTTTAGTTGAGCTCAGTGACTTTTTCAAGCAATTATGTTCTAGAACATTATACTTGGATGTTTTAGAGCAACTTGAAAGGCAAATTGCTTTGACACTATGCAAACTTGAACGTATATTCCCTCCGGCATTCTTTGACGTAATGGTGCACTTAATAGTTCATCTAGCTAATGAAGCCAAGATTGCTAGCCCAATGCAATATCATTGGATGTTTCCGTTCTAAAGGTTTGTATAAGTGATTAATCAAGTTATCAGTTAAGCATTGATCAGGTTAATATCATTTTTTTTAATTGCTTACTTGTGTATGTCAACCGGAAAATGGGTAAGCTAAAAGGCTATGTACGTAATAAGGCTCGACCAGAAGGGTCAATCACCGAACACTACATTGATAACGATTATCTGATGTTTTGTTCTATGTACTTGCATAATGTGGAGAAAAGATTTAATTTAGCCGAATGAAACAATAATGGAGGTGAAAAACAAGGAGAGTAGTCGATATTTGCATGTAGTGGTCATTTATTTGGCGGGTCCACATAGATGAATTGAGTGATGATGAGTGGGAGAAGGCTCATATCTACGTATTAAATAATTGTGAAGAGGTTGAAGAGTATATAATGTAAGCCTAATTATAATTGCGTGAATTTTAGATTCTTGCAATTAAATTATCTACTTCGCATTACTAATGATATCCACTTATGTATAACGAGCACAAAGAAATACTGATGGTTGAGAGTACGAGGAACGTAAATCAGAGGCATGACTTGCTATTCCCTAAAGGGTCCTGATAACCGAGTGAAACACCGTACGGGTTGCAATGTAAATGGTTTTCAATTCCACACTCAAGATCCTGAGAGATACAGGACAACACAATATAGTGGTGTCATTGTGGCGGGAGAGCATGATTGGAAAATTATAGACCTCTACGGTGTGATCAATGATATTATTGAGTTAGAGTATTTAATTGGGCAGCAGCGGGTTCTATTATTCAAATGTGATTGGTGGAATGTGAAGGACAATAGAAATATTCAAATAAAAAGGTTTGGAAGGTCACTAATGTAAATATATCACAAACATGGCATGAGGACCATTGTTCTTGCATCTCAAGCAAAACAAGCTTTTTATATTGATGATGTGAAGTTGGGCCATAATTGGCGTGTTGTGAAGAGGACTCAACCTCGTGGGTCTTTTGACTTACCTAAATAGTTACAAGAACAATCAATTAATGGTGAGGAGCCTTATCAAGAAGATCAACCCTATGAGGTTTTCGATATAACGAAAATTGATGAAATTTTCTCGTTAGATAGAGATGATATGATACCACTAGAAGGTATTGATCTATCAACTATTAAACGTGACCAACCAATGGAGAAGATAGATGATGAAGACATAGCTTCATTAATGACAATGATATTGAGTAAGTTGCGGATGGTGATGACATAGTCAAAGATGACACAATCATTGAGGAAGAACTTGACTCTGACTGGTGTAAGCTTGTATAAATCACTTTATATTACTATTATTTTTTTTTCATTGCCTTAGTGGTATTGCTATGTGGATTTGAGTGTATATATGCATATGCACGCACGACTGTAGACACATATTTATATTAGTTTGTGTACCATAATGTGAATGTGATGAAACTCATATATTGGAGAATTGTGTACAAATGGCCAGACCAGGGAAACGAGAGAGGTTCTAAGCATGGTGGATAGTTCTCATCACTATCATCAAATGGTCATATGTGGTCTGGTACCACTGGTAGTGCACCACCTTCAACAGGAGAGTTTCATGCATCCACGAGTGTTCAGTGTGTTACTTCGCCCAAGGAACATGCCAAGCATAATGATGGGATGTTTATGTAATGGCAAAATCTATTAAATAACGTCCATATTATATTTTTGTCATTGACTTGCAGTCATGGTATAATTTTCTCAAATGACTAACTTAATTTAGTAATCTTTCAGTTCATCCACCATGAGTAGGAAACGGGGACTTACCCGTAACTCGCTCTCCAAGAAGAAGCAAGCTGGAGAAAATTTTAATATTGAGATGCCTGAGGAGCTTGGGTGAATAGTAGGACTGGAATGCCAAACCCTTATCACAGAGGTGGGGTGTATCGTTTGGAAGTATGAACCACTTTAGGTCAAGAAATGGGCAAAAATGGAAGAGATTGACCGGAAAAGTTTACTCCAAATGGCCAAGGCGAGTATTTGTCTTACTATGCTTAACATCTCTGCTTAACTATGGACTGTTGTTACCTTCAATTCTGACAATGGTTTAGGTACCATGTATAGTATATTCCTAGTTTAATTGCTTAAGTTCATTTCTGGACGTTTTCATAGCTATGCAAGGCAAAATGCAGTCGATACAGGTTTGGTCATTTACAATTTTGTTGAACAATAGTCATTTTAGTTTATTGAGTTTATTTGGATTAATTGAATAATACACATTCAGATTTTTTTCCATCTTGTATATGCATATATCTAAGAATAGTGTAGCAATTTTAGTTTGATTTCATGTTTAAAATTTTGGAACTCTTTTATAGGACTTATTTAACCTTAATGAACAAAAACATGTTAAAGATGTTGTATATGGACAAATGAGCAAGGAATACATGACCCATCGACAGAGACTCCACAAGACTTACTTCAAGCCACATGCAACGGCATAAGAGGAAATGCAACATCCAGCACCAGGCACATCACAAGAAGGTTGGAGTTATCTATGTTCTTTCTTTTCATCGGATAAATTTTAGGTTTTTGTGCTGCTTCATACTGAAAATAAATTTTTTATTCAATTAGTTTATGCTTATTACACATTTGAGATACCAATTATCATTAAATGTAGAAAAAAAAGTGCACATAATGCAAAGAATTGAGCATTGCAAAACACTCACGTTGCTGGAACAAAGTCTTTTGTTGGATTGGGGCTGAAAGGGTAATAATATGATACTGGTCATAATGTATGATGTATGTAAGCATGTAGGTGCATATGTTCTAAAAATGGATTTGAAAATATGAAGAGAGCCAAGAGTGGGGAAGAGCTTCGGCTAGTTGAGTTATACAATATAACTCGCTATAGTGAAAGGAACAACACTTGGATTAATGAAAACACGCAGGAAAATTATGTAAGTTTCTATTCTAGTAAAGTTATCAGTTGTAAATACTAAACTATTTTTTATGTGAAGTGAATATTGAGTTGTTTTTCCATTTTAGGAGAAAATGATGGGGCTTAAATCTCAATTTGCAGGAGAGAAGGAAACCCCACTAAATGAGGAGGGAATTTGCTCACAAATTCCTAGACACAAGTCAGGGTACATACGTGATTGTGGACTTAGTCCGAAGCCTAGCTCATACTTATCTAAGTAGCATTATCAATCAAAGTTAGAGGCAGCTAACAGGAGATTCCATGAGTTGATTGAGAAACTAAATGCCCAGCGGTTAGATGTGGAACAGATTAAGGAAAAACAAAATGCCACAAATGAGATTTTGCAAACACTAATGCAAC